AATAAAAAAAATAAAAAAAAAAAACAGCTCGCCTGTCCCCCCGCCGCTGTTTCACGATTTAAAACACTCCTTAAAAATAAAAAGTAACAAAACACCGACGGGACTGAGCGTTGCTTCCCCCCCACCCACCCCTGTTATTGTCTTCTCTCCGCCCGACAGAAAGGATAATCTCCGGAGCTTGTGTTCGCACGGTGAGTTGTGTAAACGCACACAGGCTGCGAGCTAGCCGGAGGAAATGGGTTTGTTTTGAAAGCCTCTGAATCATTGTTTGCGCCCAGACGCAGTTTAAACGTACAAATGCGCCGTCTGCTGTTTTGTTATTAGTCTGGTATTTTTTTGTCAGTAGCGTTGTGTCGTCTGTTTTCACGCCCAGCCTGTAATATCGATGTCTCTGCACGGTTGTAAGGTTGCTGCTCTTGTAGGTGCAAACTGTGGCCGAGCTGTGTCAGTCTTGCTCACTGTATTTTCCGCTTTCCAGGATCCCCAATGATGAGTTATGCTGAAAAGCCAGAAGACATCACGAAAGAAGAGTGGATGGACAAATTAAACAATGTTCATATACAGAGGGCGGACATGAATCGGCTCATTATGAATTACCTGGTGACAGGTGAGGCGTGTAAGCCTGGAAGCAGTGACTGTGAGCTTAAATGTACAGCTTTTGTCCCAAAAAAAAGTCCAAAAAATGATAATTCATAACTCTCCTTAACATCTGTGTCTCTGCCTGTTTCACATCTGTTTCAAGAGGGATTCAAAGAGGCTGCGGAGAAGTTTCGGATGGAGTCTGGGATCGAGCCGAGTGTGGACCTGGACTCTTTGGATGAGAGGATAAAGATTAGAGAGATGATCCTGAAGGGACAGATACAGGAAGCTATTGCACTCATCAACAGCTTACACCCGGAGCTGCTCGACACCAATCGATACTTGTATTTTCATCTGCAGGTACGTGTGCACAGATCTTTGTAACCCGAATCAGTAGTTCTGATTGTAGTCTGTTCCTCTGTGAACTGGTGAATAGTTGGTCATCATGTTAGTCGTAGACAGAAGAGCCTGAAGTTTATGGGGCGAACTTTACAAACTTTGGGAATGATGAAGAGAACTGTTAAAATATGAATAAACATTTAAGCCCCTCCATCCCCTGTAGGTAATAACCAGGCGGTCAGATCGTGTTCTTGTCATCTCTCCTGGTTCTTCTGAAGATATTGTGATACTAGTTAAAGTGTGAACTTAAACAATCACTGCTTGTGCTTCTCCCCCCCCTCCCTTCTTGCAGCAGCAACATTTGATTGAGTTAATCAGGCTAAGGGAGACTGAGTCAGCGCTGGAGTTTGCCCAGACACAGCTGGCCGAGCAGGGGGAGGAGAGCCGCGAGTGTCTGACGGAGATGGAGAGAACATTAGCCCTTCTGGCCTTTGACAACCCGGAGGAGTCACCCTTCGGAGACCTGCTTAACATGATGCAACGGCAAAAGGTAGCCTGATAACCAGACTAAAATGTTATTTCACTGGGAAAAAAAGTGTATTTTTCACACCTGAAATATTGCTGCCTTTTAATATTACAATACAAACGACCTTTCTTTTGTCCTGTTTGTTTCTAAGGTCCTGTGCTTTTGTAGTTCTGGTCCACGTTGTGCAAACTAACTTTTTACAAACAGACCAAGAGCTGTAAGCATGACCGTTTGGGTGTCATCCTGCATAAACAGCATTACGTGGACCCACGTGGGGAAATCCCACTGACTTTGCTTTATGTTTATACATTTATGTTCCCAGTTATCAGAAAGAGCTCATGGAGAAAAAACTGATTATGAGCATTTTTTGTATTATTAGATTACAAATAAACGTTATTAATTATAACACAGGAAAGGACGGAAAAGAAGCTTCCTGTACAGCCGCACTGTATGTCATACGCTTTTTAATGGACTTCGAAAAGTACACGGAGTAGGATACAAACACAACACACTGCTGTTATAGCTTCATTTGACTGCCTAATTTGATGTATCCGGAACTCACTGCACTCCTGTGCTACCATGTTTACCAGATGATTTACATAAACATATTCCTTGCTCATAAAGATTGTTTGTTTATAGACAGTGTGAACAGTTCAGAATCAGCAGATGGACTTAATCCCTGTCAGGTGGTTATTTGACAGCTTTTACACCAAACTAAACGATCTAAATCAAACACGCACTTAAAGTTTAGTATTAGAGTTGTTCCGATTTCGATACCAGTATCGGAAATGTCTCCAATACTGCCGAAAATGCTGGCATCGGTATCGGCGAGTACTGGAGCCGCAGCAGCAAACTCTGGAAGCTGCCTTGCAGCGACGGGAAACATTCACCAGAGACAAAGATAACAGACAAAATCCTGGAATTTATTGTCCTGGATGACCAACCCCTGTCTTGTGGCTGCACTTTAATTTAAATAGATATATTCCTAGATTTAAGTTGCTGTTGCACTACTGTTTTTTATACTGTTTTATTTAAAAATAAATGGCTTTGAATTTTCTGTTATTTATTCATGTTTTACAAAGGTTTTAACCTGAGCCAGCCTTAACCACAAAATAACATGATTATATCAACAGTCATGCAGGCGTATATTGATATTTTTTTTATTAACCATACTTGTATCGGAACGGTACCGTAATTCGGATTCGGTACTCGGTACGGCTGATCCCCACAGCACCCAAGTAATCGGAATCGGTAATTGGGAGGGAAAAAATGGTATTCGGAACCATCTCTAGTATCTCTGTGCCGGTGATCAACCGTGGCCTGACGGTGTTAATGTTTCGGAGTTGTCCATACTTCCGTATATGCCTGTACAATTCCGTCCGTATTCTCACTGACGTGATCATTCTTCAAATTTGCCCACAAATGTCAATGTTTTTTTGGGGTTCAAAGGTCATAACCAGACCACTAGATTTTGAAAAAGGATAAAATTTTCATATAATAAATAACATTTGAAGGAAAAATAAC